AGTTTTTACCATCATCGCAAGAGAAAGTAATTGCATTTATTAAAAAGTTTTGTGAAACGAACAGTATGGCTTGACAAATGTAGAGGATAATGAGATATATTTTTACATCCGAATTTCTATATAAATCCAAACTATTCTTTGTATTTCATCATTCATTTTGTTGAACTTGAATACACGACGATGGGAAAAATTGTACTCTTGTTAATGTTTGCAGCCTGCTTGGCACTGGTACTTGCACAAGACGAAGGCGACAATGATTCGCGTCCACAAAGACGAGGACGACCTGGTCGAGGTCCACGACCTGGTGGTGACGGACCTGGTGGTGACGGACCTGACGGACCTGGTGGTGACGGACCTGGTGGTGACCGACCGGATGGTGACAGACCGGATGGTGACAGACCTGGTGGTGACAGACCTGATGGTGACCGACCGGGTGGTGACAGACCGGATGGTGACCGACCGGATGGTGATAGACCTGGTGGCGACAGACCTGATGGTCAGCGACCTGATGGAGATGGAGGAAACTAATGAATAACATCAATAACAATGTAAGTTCCAAAATATATAATATAAAATACGGGGGCTCACATACGACATATTTCACTTTTTATTTTAAATTAAAAACTTTAATTTTCACCTGCGTCAAAATAACCAAGGAAATTAAAGTGAAAATCAGGTGAAAATTCTTGTATTTTTAAATTGAATACTTTAATTTTCACCTTGGTACGGTGGCTCACAAACGACATATTATTTCACTTTTTGTTTTGAATTAAAAACTTTAATTTCTAATTAAGCTTTGAACTCAAAATTACAGAAATTATCACCCAGTTTTTCTCCTTCGTGAATAGCCAATTTAATAATTGTATCAATAAACACTATTGATACTGTTTTATATCTTACGCACACAATCTCGAAGATCTGAAAATTGTGTCTCCATGTTGGTTTTACAACTTGTAATTTGAAACCAGGTTTCACCTTGAGAGATGAACCGGTATGAAAACATTCAGATACTTTGTTTGAAAGAAAAAAGATGGTCTGTGTGCAGAATATGGTACCGTTCATCTTCAACAACAACAGTTATTAAACCAAATATATTATCATTCTTGGGATTGAGATTTTATTAAGAATTTTTCATCCATTTATATTATCTTAATTACCATGGTGTCTTTATTTCAGTTTGAAGTTTCCAGTCAAGAAATATTTAAAAACATGATAAATGATAAATAATAAATTACTCTATTGGAATTCTTGAATTTTTTCATTTTGTTTGTTTGTTGTTTGTTTAAAAATTAGAGGCTGCCATTCGAAAAAGTTCAGAGATGTAAAGAGTGCAATTTGCACTGTATGTGCACACTCGTTTGAAGTTGTTCTCTGCTAAATTTCTACCTTGCAAAATCTGCCTGCTACAGCATTTTTAGTTTTCCTCCAAACCAAAATATAAGTGATTTTCTCTTTAAAATAAGGGTGAAACTTAAAAAGCAAACAAATTACAAATTTCTGTTTTCAACGGAAATCAGCGTAAAGCATGTTAAAGCTTCATTTGCCACAAACATTATACCTCTGATGTCAAACTTGGCTGAGTTTCGGCCATTTGAAGATAGGGTGGGTGGCCGGTCACCAGCCTATACGGTTCTATACATTCTAGCTGCACGCGTTGGAGTTAAGACCAAAACTTTGACAGGCTTTCAATTTGTTGAACTTTAATACACCACCACGAAAAATATTTTTTTATTGGTGTTTGTAACCTGTTTGGCTCTGGTCCTTACTCAAAAAGGTGCACAAGATCAAGTGTTGATAGACGAGGTAGGAGACCGACAGGTGACTGGTGACTGACAGGAAAGACCAAGACAAGGTGATCGACAATGTGGTGATAGATGGGAAGGAGGAAGACCCAATGTTGACTGACGGGAAAGACAAGGCGTTATTTTTTTTTGTAAACAATATTTTATTTCGTATAGAAAAAGGATTCGAGAATAGGCAGATGCCTTTGTAACTGCCCTCAACAAGGCGTTGATAGACCGACAGGGAAGAGCAAGACAATGCAGTGATAAACGCGAAGCAGGATGACATATTGGTGACCGACAGGAAAGATCAAGGCGTGGATAGAAGAGAAGGGGAAAGACCAAGACAATGTAGTGATAAACGGGAAGGAGGAAGACCTCAGGGTTACTGACAGGAATGACCAAGAATCTATAGTGAATAAAGGGGAGGAGTAAGATCCGATGATGGTCGACATGAAGGACCATGACAAAGCAATAATAGACGGTAAAGCGTAAGACTCGATGGTGACCGACAAGAAGGACCAAGACAAAGCGGTGATAGACAGGAAAGACCAGGACGAGGCAGAGATAAACGGTAAGGCGGAAGATACGATGGTGGCAGACAGGAAAGACCATGACAAGGCGTTGATAGGCGTTTTTTTTTTAAATCTGTGCTTGTTCGGTCCAAACGGTTTCGTGACATTAATAAAGAGTCCAACAGCCCAGCCACAATTTTCACAGAATCGCATTTCAGCAATAAATTGAAATGAAATGTAATTTAATATAAAAATACAATCGACGATCCAATTTGTAATAGTGGAGCGAGTCCATGATGTAGATATCATGATTGATCGGATGTCCGATGTTAAAAAAATTGGACCAGAGACATTTCTTCAAGCTTTATTCTCTAGAGAGTTCCTTCAAGTCTTAATCATTTCTAGAACTTAGATGACAATTTATTTCATGTTGTGACTCATCATTTTAGATTTAGCCGAAGATTGATTCATAATTTGAATTACCTCGGGATAATACATGCTAGTTACTTCCCTTGAAGTGGACAGTGTTCAGAAAATTTTATCTCACTTGAGTAACCTACATTTGTGATTTGTTGTTTGCCGGGATAATGCACTCCTGCTTCATTCCTAACAAATTAAAAAATATGAATTTTTTTTATACGTTTTGACACACAATATAATATTATATTGGGGGTCTCCCAGAAGCTCTAGATATTTCTGCCTATGACATTTCCACACAACTGCAGAATCTAATTCTCGAAAGTTGACCCCTCATTAAGTCGTTCTGACCCCTATTTGGACGTATTTCCTGTTAGCCTGTCGCACAATGCATCTATTGTTTTTCCCCACGTTTTGTGATTACATATAGTCTTGACAATGATTATAAAGCGAAGGATAGAAAGCACGTAATGATATCATCATGTTCCTTTAGCGACGTTAGTCGATATACTACCGATGCTTTTAAAATCACATATTCTCGTCATTAATTTTTTTAATTGGTAGAGAGTCTCCACCAATGACATTTGTCCAAACAAAATATTGCGGGAAAATGTTTGAATAACCAGATGCAAAATTTTAGTACCAAATTTAATTCCTGGTTATTGAATCTCAAACAGCATCAAGTAATCTCTCTAATACGATTCTACAGTAAAAGAAAAAAATTATCATCTATGACGTCAATTTATCCCTTTTTATTCACAATATTTAACTAAGTGCCAACTTTATACCTTTATACCCCGATGGCTTAACAAACTAGACGCTAACTTGGTAATGTGGGATTCGGCGGTTCTGTCAATCCAGTTTTCCTCATCAGTAAAGCATGTCGGGGGTGTTGACATAGAAGTCGAGAAATTTAGCATAATAAAAGCCGTGTATGTCCATTGACAGTTGGAAATCGGAAAATGGTAGGCTTATACCACTGTCGTGGCATAATTTCCGCTTGCTCACTGAAATCACTGTCCGATTTTACCCTTGAATTTAAATTCCGATGGAAGACTGGCCTGGAAAAGGCGTCATATTATGTTTTTATGGGCATTAGCGACCACTGAGATTTTTTAACAGTGTAATGTTTCCATGGACTTTTTCTGAGATGGTACCCTCAAATTAGATAAAGAATGAAGTTAGCAGAGATGCCAGAATTGACTACCTTACTGTCGGTACAAGACGAGCTTCAATTTCCATATTGCCAAGAATAAAACAAATGCCTGGTCAAACAAATATTAAATAAATATTTTCTCTTCTCTTATCGAAATTATTTCTGAATCAATTACTGGAGACCTTCAAACTGGCCATTGAATGAACCGAAAATATGGCTTGAAGTGCACAAAATAATTGCCCTTTAAATGAGGGTTTAATAGAGTAACTGTGAGAAGAATAAGAAAGATATGTATTGTACTTTATAGCTTGGGGTCTGAATGTTGATTGGACCATGACGGACTTTATGAGTATCAAGGAAATTGTTACACAGGGACTCGTGCAACACTCAAATCCTTACTGATTTTATCTGATTCAAAACAAAGGAAAGCTTGCTTTATTTCAATGCTTATTGGTATGATGAATAATATTTTTATAGCCATAAGTGGTTGTAACAGACATTTCATCACAAACGAGTTAAGTGGTATACTGTGTTTAGACATTGTTTCCTTCGTTCATTTCCACATGTCCCTGTGATCAAGTCATTAAATATGATATAGATGTATGTATGTCAATATGATTGACACTTTTCGCCTTTACTTACCGTTACTTGTATTGTAGTTGACGCGACTTTCTATATATCATCTTCCTCGGACTCTATCCACCGGACAGTGTAATTATCTGTTGCGATTGTTTTAAAACTCTTTAATCTTCGGATACGCTTAAAAAGGTAGGTTAAAGTTTATTATTAAAGAACTATAACGACCTATTACTAGTGTACCCCCTAAATTAATGGCGTGTTTAATGTATTAAGATGGTAACATTTTTATAGGGATGTGAACGTCCAGTATGCATACTAGGACTTCCATTTGATGTTTCGGTATCCTTGGAAAATGATCATAGCAATTCCTATTATGACATGCTCACACTCATCACCCAAGGTTAAATTTGAAATTTGTGTTTTAATGAAAATGGTTCTAAATGAATTGTGGTGAATCCCAAAACTTTAAAAGCTTTGCAATATTATGTCGAGTTTTGTATACATAGAGAGTTTTATTTTGATTGCGTAAAGAGAATTCGTCAGTGACAGATCCTTGTTCCGATTGATCATGTTATCTGAGCTGTCAATCTTCAAGAAAAGTTGACAAAATAACAAAAATTACGACCATCAGTGCATTACTTGATGTAAAAAAACAAACGAACAAGAACTTGTGCAATTATATAACACATGAAATAAACACCTGTAAAACCATTTGTCACATAAAACGATCGTCTCTGCATTTCTTTGAAACCAATAAGCAACCATCTGTACTATTGTACAACAGCCATATTTGCAATCCTTGCACACATAAAAACAATCGTCTCTGCATTCCTTTAAATAATAAAAGCAACCATATGTGCGCTTTTACATTTCCCGGACACATAAAAACAACAATCTATGTAATCTTTTGGCACATAAAAACAACAATCTGTTTGATCTTTTGCACATAAAATCAAAAATCTGTTTAATCTTTTGCACATACAAACAACAATCTGCAAGCTTTTGGCATATAAAAACAACAATCAGAGTAGTCTTTTAGCATATAAAAACGACAATCTGCAATCTTTTGCACTTAAAAACAACAATCTGCAATCGTTTGGCACATAAAACAACAATCTACAATCTTTTGGCACATAAAAACAACAATCTGAATAATCAAATGGCACTTAAAAACAAAAATCTGCAATCGTTCGGCACATAAAACAACAATCTACAATCTTTTGGCACATAAAAACAACAATCTACAATCTTTTGGCACATAAAAACAACAATCTGTGCAATCTTTTGGCACATAAAAACAACAATCTGAATAATCTTTTGGCACTTAAAAACAACAATCTGCAATCGTTTGGCACATAAAACAACAATCTACAATCTTTTGGCACATAAAAACAACAATCTGAATAATCTTTTGGCACTTAAAAACAACAATCTGCAATCGTTCGGCACATAAAACAACAATCTACAATCTTTTGGCACATAAAAACAACAATCTGAGTAATCTTTTGGCACTTAAAAACAAAAATCTGTGCAATCTTTTGGCACATAAAAACAGTCGACTTTGCATTTCGTTGACATAAATAACTAAGCACTTTAGAATATCTAATTCTACATCTTCAGATAATGGTTTTGTTTAACTTGCAGACAACGACTGCTTGAAATAGGTATGAGAAGGAAAAAAAACATAAAGTGTAGAATTTTTCTGATTATGAAAGAAATGAAAAGAAACAAGATCTTATCAAGACACTACGTTATGATTTTTACAAAGAAATTTCATTTCCATAGTAGAGTGTTTATATATTATAAAATAGGTTCAGACGTTCCGTTCAGTATTGTTTCAGATTTTCTGTGTTTAAAGAAAAAAATTAACGAGTATTTGTTCATCAGTGTACTTACCTGCTATCATAACTATACAACAGAACCCTTCTATTATCCAATACCATAAAACTAAGAAATAATTCATTAAACTAACTAATTCTTGAAACTTGCTTTGAAATAATTACTTAGCTTGATGAATATATGGTCTTATATAGAGATTCTATTATTTAGTCATGGCATCTGGTAAGTCCAACTGATTAATATAAGCTCTTATTGACCAAGTTTGAGACATAAATGTTATGCCCAATCTAAGAGGTAGTATTTCTTTATTTAGGGTCCAGTCATTATAATTCAACTAAAGTTTGTATCATATCCCATATAATAATAATAATAATGATATCTTTATTACAAAAGGGTTGAAAATTAGGCCATACATTACCGATGCTCATCAAGATCAGATCATAAGTACCCAACGATAGGCCTGTCTTCCATTCTGCCCCTTTTAGACAATACAACCAAAACACAATAAAACAATAATCAATTACATGGATAGCAACAAATAAAGACATCAAATATTGAATGAAAAAAACATGATATAATAATTTACAGTCTATAGACATTATAATAGTGATCTTATTTATGAGAAATTGACAACAAAATTCATTCATGTACAAATTTTAATCAAAATACATACATTTGTATAAATTTGCAAGTTTTAATGCAAACAATTAGCAAATATTATTATAATTCAGCCAAAAACTCAGTTTAAGTGCCGCGAGTGGGCGGAGAGCTCTGCAAGTCGCTCCAGCTTATGCACAGTGCAGTCGTAGTCAAAATGGTTACATGTGGGTTCTTTCAACTACAACAATACCACTGTGAAATTATCGGTTATTTATCAAATTCCAAATTCTGTCAGTGACTATGTTTAGGTATGAATGGATGAATGGATAAGAAATGGATAAGAAAAGTAATCAACTCGTTCAAACAAGTAGTTAATCCTCTTAATATTGTTTACATTATGTTATGAACCTAATACCCGAAACTGATTATCGAATATTTTTACTATTTTCTGGAGATTTTTTCAACGGAGCTATCAATGACGCGTTAAATTGATAATCACTCATGTCTTCTTTCCTTTAAAAAAATATACACACCCAATTTCAGGTTATTATACCAGTATACCAGCTACTTTGAATCATCATCATTAACATAATCATTGCCGTCGTCGTATAGTCAGGGTTATATTCGCAGTCATTTTATGTTTATTTGTAAAGTGTTTTCAAGTTCAAATGATGAAATGCAGACCCGAAGCCAAACTTAAACATTTTGTTGAAGTATCCGAAGGGACAATTTGGTGTTTAGTTGCAGTGACGATATAGATCCCCAGCCCCCACCCTTACCTCCCTGTAGCTACGGGCCTGATGTAATGCAGTTCACATCTGAAAGTGTTTTTATCACAGAATACGTCGCTTAAATAATATTCAGAAGCTATGTTAAGTCAAAGAGATAAAACTCTGGAATTATTAGTTTTTAGTTTTTGTCAGCCTCTTGTTCATTAAACGTCTTCATTATATTTCAATATATTATCCATTCTAATTTGTTAACCTACGCGAGTTATACAAGGGTGCAGTGTCTTATTTGTTAACCTATGTTTGTATACGAGGGTAGTGTAGTCTTATTTGTTAACCTATGTGTGTTATGCGAGGGTAGTGCAGTGTCTTATTTGTTAACCTATGTTTGTTATACGAGGGTAGTGTAGTCTTATTTGTTAACCTACGTTTGTTATACGAGGGTAGTGTAGTCTTACCTCGCGTTATTTGTTAACCTATGTTTGTTATGCGAGGGTAGTGCAGTGTCTTATTTGTTAACCTATGTTCGTTATACGAGGGTAGTGTAGTCTTATTTGTTAACCTATGTGTGTTATGCGAGGGTAGTGCAGTGTCTTATTTGTTAACCTATGTTTGTTATACGAGGGTAGTGTAGTCTTATTTGTTAACCTATGTGTGTTATGCGAGGGTAGTGCAGTGTCTTATTTGTTAACCTGTTAACCTATGTTTGTTATACGAGGGTAGTGTAGTCTTATTTGTTAACCTATGTGTGTCATGCGAGGGTAGTTCAGTGTCTTATTTGTTAACCTATGTTTGTTATACGAGGGTAGTGTAGTCTTATTTGTTAACCTATGTGTGTTATACGCAGGTAGTGCAGTGTCTTTTTTGTTAACCTATGATTGTTATACGAGGGTAGTGTAGTCTTATTTGTTAACCTATGTGTGTTATGCGAGGGTAGTGCAGTGTCTTATTTGTTAACCTATGTTTGTTATACGAGGGTAGTGTAGTCTTATTTGTTAACCTATGTGTGTTATGCGAGGGTAGTGCAGTGTCTTATTTGTTAACCTATGTTTGTTATACGAGGGTAGTGTAGTCTTATTTGTTAACCTATGTTTGTTATACGAGGGTAGTGTAGTCTTATTTGTCAACCTATGTGTGTTATGCGAGGGTAGTGTAGTCTTATTTGTTAACCTATGTTTGTTATACGAGGGTAGTGTAGTCTTATTTGTTAACCTATGTTTGTTATACTAGGGTAGTGTAGTCTTATTTGTTAACCTATGTTTGTATACGAGGGTAGTGTAGTCTTATTTGTTAACCTATGTTTGTTATACGAGGGTAGTGTAGTCTTATTTGTCAACCTATGTGTGTTATGCGAGGGTTGTGCAGTGTCTTTTTTGTTAACCTATGTTTGTTATACGAGGGTAGTGTAGTCTTATTTGTTAACCTATGTGTGTTATGCGAAAGTAGTGCAGAGTCTTATTTGTTAACCTATGTTTGTTATACGAGGGTAGTGTAGTCTTATTTGTCAACCTATGTGTGTTATGCGAGGGTAGTGCAGTGTCTTATTTGTTAACCTATGTTTGTTATACGAGGGTAGTGTAGTCTTATTTGTTAACCTATGTGTGTTATGCGAGAGTAGTGCAGAGTCTTATTTGTTAACCTATGTTTGTTATACGAGGGTAGTGTAGTCTTATTTGTTAACCTATGTGTGTTATGCGCGGGTAGTGCAGTCTTATTTGTTACTCTATGTGTATTATACGAGGACAAAATCACAATGTTAAGTGTTCCACAACAGTGATGTATTTATTTTCTTTATGGCACACCCCTATGTATGTAGAAACAACTGCATAGACGTGTTTGATGTCGCGAGACGACTATGGTATTTCATATATTATGATGAATTTTATCCAACCTCCTAATTGGGTCAAGTAATATTTATGTAAATACGTTTGCAATGTTGAATTCCTTCTCAAATAAAAAACTTCCTTAAAGTAAACAAAGTTTTTCATTGAATTTCAGTCTTCTTTTTTCGTCTATTATATAATTAATAATAGAATGTAATATATAGTTGAGTTCGGAGATCACAGAGATTGGTATGCGATGTCGGCGTTTGTTTGCTTATAGCAATGTACCTTTATTCCTTTTTGTCACTATATCGATAGAAATGCTTCTTCATTCGTCAGTGAGGAGAGATCCTTGTATTTGCCATGCTTAAACACTCTAAAAGCTGTACTATCAAAAGACTGAACTGCAAGCCATCAGAAGCCTATAATTCAAACAATCAAACAAGTTTTACTAAAACCATTCAAAATTACATGTTAAAAGCTATATTATCTAATAATTACAAGCTCCACTTCAAGCGATCAGAAGGCTCACCAGCAGTGGCGGAGCCAAAGGGGGATGGGGGTTGGGGGGTCAGAGGGGACAGGGGACTAAATTCCATGTCGTTGAATTTGACTGGCCGATATTTTTGTGAATTCATATAGCATAATTTGTTTCAGTTCCACCTCAGTGAAACGTGTTATTATTCTGACCAGTTTAAGTATATATTTACTATTCACTGTGTAGTTTTTGAATATTTATATTTATTTTATATTTTGTATTCAGTATATTGATGTAAAGCAAACACCGCAAAATATTAGAAATTCGCTTTTGAGTTTCGTCTTATTCGAACCCATAGATTTTCCGCCCGACTTCTTGTACTTTCCTTCAATGCCATCACTGACAAGGAAAACAACTGAAATGTTCATCTCGACAGATCTCACACTTGAATAATAGGAGATGCAGTTCAAGGCATATAAACGATAGTTAAAACGTCGTCATAATTGTTCTTTTTTTTCAAAATGCCTTGCTCCCAGTTAAGGTCTCGACACAGGTTATAATTACCCCGCAGGAGCCATTTCTCTTCTCAGTTTCGCCAGGATGGTTCAATTATGTTCAATTAGTTTTTTACCTTTGTCACTTTAAAGTGGCTCTTTGACATACATGGGTCCATCAGGGCGTGTTGCTGAAGATGTTAATACGAAAATCGCGAAGTCAAAATTTAAGTTAAACGCCCACTAAATAAATGTGAGAAAAAAAACCTGTACTTTAAAGAGGAACATTATCAGATTTCCACACTAAGCCTCGAGTTACAGGTCACTATGACTTTCAAATGTACCAATATCTTAACCTGCATTCTTTCATATTAATGATCTCTTTTTGGTGTCATTTTACTCTAATTATATTACCACTGAAGTTACTTACAGAAAGGAAGCGAAACGACATACCTACTTACATAGAATTTTGTAACATTGTAAACAAATACCACTTAAATTCACCCCCAAGTGAGTGATTTAAACTTGTTGCCATCCTTAGACTTTATTTGTAATGGATGGTATGGTCTGCTTTTCACTTTAATCCACAATACATAAGTTCGTACAAAACTCATTTGGTGAAAACCATTATGATGTACACAAAACATTTTTTCTCTATCGAGATTGCGGACAAACATAGAAGCCAGTTGCGGCCATATCTACTCTCGACTTCTCTCCCACGAGAAAGCGAAGAAAATCAACTTCTCACTTTCCGGCTTTTTCCTAGCTTTTTTTACCATCCACTTCTCACCCTTTCCTCGCCTTTTTTCATGCCCTTTTCCTTGCTTACTCGTCTTTTTTTACCCTCGCTTTCCCCGACTTTTTTTTATCGCTTTAACGTGCTTGGTCTTCTCGCTGCGAGAAGTCGAGGGTAATATGATCGCAGCCGGCTTCCATAGACAAACCTCGACACACACCCCAAGTTTGTAAATATGACGCTTGATTCAATGATCACTCATTCGCTCATTTGTTGAAAACCAAATACCCATTGGTGGATAAAATGTATATCCAATGAGATTTCAGAATTGACATTCCGGTTGTAGTGCAAGATGGCGTTAATTAACTACTTCGGTAAACTGTGGTTGTAATGCTACGAGAATGCGACTTTTCGTCCACTGCAACGACATATTCTGGCCACACAATCTGCAGATTGCAAACAAGCGTCCTCTCAAAGGTGCATTGAGCAGCTGTGTTGAAACATTCTGTTATTATTCTTTAATTAGACCACTGCATCTGTAATCTACTAATGTGATAGTTTTACTAATCACACTTTATGTTTTTACCATAACACATCCTTTTAAAATAAAAATGTTTTATGGTGTATTTTCATTTACTACATCTTCTTATATGTAGATATTTTATGGTAGTAAACCCCATTTTTTGGCAAATTTTCATAAAGGAAATAAAAACATCGTAAATAGACGTACATGACATAAAATATGATTCAAGTTTTTGACAATTATCCTTTCAGTGTATAATGTAACCTTGAGGCATACTTTGTATCTTTATACTTAACTGGGTCTTGATAAATATCTTTACTTATGTTTTAATTGTGCTCATGGACTAGGTGTATTTTATATGTGGGAGATATATGCGAAATCAAGGTAACTCTTTTAAGATATGTAGGGGAGGGATGGGATGAAGTAAAAATTTAGCTGATATGGCTAATCAAGAGCGTACGTGTACTGGAACAAGGAACGCTATCAGATTGTCAAACATCGCCAAGCCTCGAGCCTTTGACTTTTAACTGAACCAATTTCTTAATATACATTCTTGCATATTAAAATGTTGTTAAATTTGGTGACAGTTTTTCATACTAAATCTGTTATCTCATCTGTTTAAATTCTACCAATTTACAGGCTTCCTTAAGATATCAGAAGTAAAGTCTGCATGGAACAGCAGTAATTTCGCTCTTTATTTTGATAAGGCTTATCTTATAATAAGATTATTTTGCCAATGGTTCAAATACCTAGAAAATATCCTCCTTTGGGCTAAAATATGTAACAAGAAATACAAAAATCGGAGGTAATTGTTGCAAGTCATGTTGAATTAGTTTCCTCTACAAATACTCTAGGTTAGTGAAAAAAACAAAAAGGCATGTGTCTAATATTTTTCTTCAAATTTCCAGAGATTTTTTTTTCAGACTGCAGCTAATGGGCATGAAGTGTGTCTGAATTCAATGATTCTTTAATATCAGCTTTTATTGAGACCCATCCTCATTTATGCGAATTAAATAGCTCTCAATGGATGGTTGGATGATTAAAAGTTGTTTATTTTGTTGTGGGACTGGAATAGGTGTACTATATTTTGTTTTACTCTGTATGGACATTCGTGTTGCCGAGAAAGTTAAAAAAATCCTGGATGTTATTTATGAAGTTGATAAATGTACAAGCACTGGATGAGTATACTTGGATTTGCGTCTCTCTTTTCTGATTCGTTAATGAAGAAACGACAGGAAAAACCATCTAGTTGTTCAGTTGGGACAAAATAACGGAGCGTTACACAACAAACCTTACGTTCCTTCAAGAAAAGAGTACGCTATGCCGATGTCTTGGCAATTCTTTTCTCTACACACTACATGGCGTTGTCCGTTTTGATAAGTCTTAGCTTGTTAACTTCCAATCTTGTTCATTTCTACGTCTTTCCAAGAAAAGAGTACGCTATGCGATGTCTTACAATTTATTATGCTTTTCATACTACATGGTGTTGATAAATCAGCACAAAGAAGGACGCAAAACTTTTTATTTCACGTTTTATTTCTTTTTTGTTTTTTAAGGCGTGAAGCCTTGACCCCTAAAATCGCGACCTGAACTAATTTTAAATCAAGTGTAACTTGGCGATGTAACTTTTCTAAATCTTTTTCATTTGACTTAATCACTTGAAAGTAAGTCAAATACTTTTTTTATTTTTGAACTGACTTAAGTCGAGATATAAATTATTGAGCTAAACACTCAACTTATGATTGAATAAATCTTTAAAAAAAAAGATTGAGAAAACCCCGTAGGAATTGAGGTAATATTTTATGTTTGATCGATTACTAAGTTTCGGGTTTTACTGATTGCTTTACCTTACCTCTGTCAGTAATAGTTGTACATGTACAACGGGTCGTAAAGAGGCTTTAGATCCATAGTGTTACCTAGTACGATTCCAACTAACGATCTGCTAATTTGAACAATTCGTTAGAATTGATGGATTGAATTAATCAGATTAATACATATTGCAGTAGCTTTTTGTTCTTAGGGTTACGTGTAGATCTGAAAATCACGTTTAAGAAATATTTCTGATGAACATTACTGAGTTTATAAACCCGCTACAGAAAACATTGTAATAGTCAATAGGAGTCTTAAAAATAAAATTGACGGTTGTCTACCAACAGAGTCATTAGTTTATTGTTCTTGATACATAACTTTCATAGAGATCTGAATAACCTTTGTTCTTGATACATAACCTCACAGAGATCTGAATAACCTTTGTTCTTGATACATAACTTCAGATAACTCTTGTTCTTGATACTTAACTTCGGAGAGATCTGAATAACTCTTGGTGATACATAAATTCGGAGAGATCTGAATAACTCTTGGTGATAAATTACTTCGGAGAGATCTGAAGAACTCTTGATGATACATAACTTCGGAGATATTTGAATAACTCTTGTTCTTGTAACATAACTTCGGATGGCTCAGAATATTCCCCACGGGCATGAGAACTTCTGACCTTAGATAAAGGTGTTATTCGTCGTTGGAATGTGATAATGCACTATAATATGTTTTATCAGGTAGATATATAAACATGTCATATTATAATTAGTAGGATATATTATTAACAATGTATCAGGCGACCATTTCACTTGACATGTTTAAAGGGAACATTTTAAGCAAACTTTTCTCACTAACAGAAACAGAATAATGGCATGTTTCTCCATAGTTGAATATCAAGCAGAAGT